TTTATTTACCCCCTTTTTAATGAAAAGCCATCTTTTGTTTCTTTTCCCCCCAACTTACAACATAAATCTAAGGCCTTTAATGAAAAATTTTAAGTATAGAAATGTGTTTCTGTATGTTGCGGTGTGAGTGTATGTGTATATGTTCATGTGCTTATTGAAGACTTTTTGTTTTTGCAACAGGGGTATATTACTGTGTAATGTAAGTAATTTATTTTGAAAAAGTCTGTGTCCCCAAAATACAACCATCTCTCCATGAAATATCCAACTAACCGTGACTTAGGCACCAACCTGACAGAGGAGCAGAAAGTGTACTCTTTTCCAGGGTGCTTTTTCCAAGTACCCTAAAAGGCTCCCAGCTGACTTACACTCCCACCTCAGTTCCTTCCCTGTGGCTTACCTGTGGCTGCCTTCTGAAGCTGAGTGCAGCCCTGAGGGCCATAGGCTGCACCCCCAAGCCCCAGGAAGATTACCCCAAGGACCTTCTTCATTGCGGAGTCACCACTGTCAGGGGTTTACCAAGGTTCTACTTGCTTTTGTCCTTGTTCTTGGTGAACTATCGATGGAGCTACACTTTGAAGTTTGAAAGAGATACTTCTCAACATCATAGCCAAACTGTCTGGTCCCAGGTGATCAATTTTTAAATTTTCTTTTGTTAATCCTCACACAAGGTATTTTTTCCATTGATTTTTTTTTTTCCAGAGAGAGTAGAAGGAGGGAGGAAGGGGGAGATAGAGAGAGAAAGAGAGAGAGAGAGAGAAACATCAAGAGAGATATATTAATTGGTTGCCTCTCCCATATACCCCAACTAGGGCTGGGAAACAAATCTGCAACCCAGGTACATGCCCTTGATCAGGAATTGAACCTGCAACGCTTTGGTGGGTGGGCAGATGCTCCAACCATTGGACAACACTGTCCAGGACCCAGGTGATTATTTTGTTTTTTCAGGTGATTAGTTTTTAATTTATTGATTGATTCACTGACTCACTAATTTTTTTTCCTTTCAAGAAAAATGTTCATTGAGTGTTAATTCCAAATCAGGCACAGCACTAAGAGCTGGATAGACATTCCCTCCCATGGGTCCTCCAAGGGCCTGGTGGGTGAGAGGCTGTTGGGATAGCACTAGGTGCATGTTGGTCCTGAAACCCACATTCCCTTCAGTGACTTCGGCCCTTGGTCTCAGTTCTGGAATTCTCAGTGGCCTAACCTTTCTTTGATGGATTTCCTTGTGGGCAACTGCTTGACTTGACATCTTGCATAAAATATAAAAAACGTCTAATTATGAGTGTTTTAATGTGAATGGAATAGTCACGGGTTAACAGAAATCTCCTTTTTAAAAATTACTATTATCTTCTCAGTGGATTCATCTGGCTCTGGTTTGGACATATCCCTTCTCTCTCACCCTGGTTCATCATACATGTGTTTATATCTGACTCTCAGGGGTGTGGCTTTGGGACTCATTTTGGTTTTTTACCAGAAGGCACCTTTTACTCCATACACATTTATATAAGTAGGTGGTTCTACTCAACCCCACCAAACAGACCTGAGTTCTACATTGAATTGCTATGTTGAGAGGGAACATAATTCTTGTACCTACAGAATCTGGGCTGTAATAACTGTGGGTATAATTTGGAATTCCATTTTTCTTCTGTTCCTTCTCCTCTTCCTCCCCCTTCTAATTGAACTTTATAAGAAATGTTAGCAGATATCATCAAATGTTCCTTGAAAACATGTTTCTAACACCTACATAATCATCCATTGTGTGAATGTACCATAAATGATTCCACCATAGTATGGATAACTTGTAGAGAATTTTTGGTAAATTTTTGCTATTATATAAAAATGTTGTGATGAGCAGCCCTAGCTGGTTTGACTCAGTGGATAGAGTGTCGGCCTACAGACTGAAGGATCCAGGGTTCGATTCCAGTCAAGGGCACATGCCCGGGTTGCAGGCTTGATCCCCAGTTGGCAGCTGATCAATGATTCTCTCTCATCATTGGTGTTTCTATCTCTCCCTCTCTCTTCCTTTCTGAAAGCAATAAAAAAAATTTTTTAAAAAATGCTGTGATGAGCCAGGCTCATCACAACCTGGGCATGGCTCAGTGGTTGAGTGTCCACCTGTGAACCAGGAGGTCACAGTTCCATTCACGGCCAGGGCACATGCCCAGGTTGTGAGGTGTATCGGAGGCAGCCCATCAATGATTCTCTCTTATCATCAATGTTTCTATCTCTCTCTCTCCCTCTCCCTTCCTCTCTGAAATCAAAAATATACTTTAAAAAAATAAAAATGTTGTGATGAAAAATGTCATATAAATCTCAGTCCACACTTATTACTTTAGGAATGATTTCTAGGAGTAGAATTACCGGTTCTTATTAAACAGGGAAGCCAAAGAGTATGGTGTTTTGAGCTATGCATGTGGCTGCTGTTTTTATTTTGTTTATTTTAATGTGAGGAACTTATGAACTGCCCCTTCAGTGGGCCCTGGTAGAAAACGAGCTGTGTGTTAGGACCCCCTTCAGTGGAGCCAGGCTGTTGGGGCCCTGAATGCTGTTGGTGGATCCAGGAATATCCGCTGAGTGGTCTGAGACTATTAAAAAATAGTCATAATTATCTAAAAAACCCCCTTTTTTGAGAATTTACTGGCTACTATTTCTTTACATGTTTTTTTCTTCCCCATTTCTCTTTATTCTTTCCTTCTGTGACTTTCATTGTGCATATGTTGGTCTGGTAACAGTGATTTCCCACAGGTGTCTGAGGCTCCATTCGATTTCTTAGTTCATTTTTCTTTCTGTTTTTTTTTGTTTGTTTGTTTGTTTTTTTTTTTTAATTTAAATCTGGATAATCTCAACGGGCCTATTTTAAAGTTTTCTGTTTTCCTTCTTCTACCAATTCCACTGTGAAGAGGTAGTCAGTAGTAACATTGGAGTGGCACTGCTTTATCTAGAATGCATATGGAAGGCTCTGAGGGGGTGATATTTGAGTTGAGGCTTGGTCATGCTAAAATATATGTTTCTTAAAAATGGTGGGCTGCCCTGACCGGTTTGGCTCAGTGGATAGAGCGTCGGCCTGCGGACTGAGGGGTCCCAAGTTCGATTCTGGTCAAGGGCATGTGCCTCAGTTGTGGGCACATCCCCAGGAGGGGGTGTGCAGGAGGCACCTGATCGATGTTTCTCTCTCAACATCAATGTTTCTAACTCTCTATCCCTCTCCCTTCCTCTCTGAAATCAATAAAATTACATTAAGAAAAAAATTTAAAAAAAAATCGTGGGCTGTTTTCAGACTTCATTTGTAAACTCTGCTTCCATGGGTTGGAGAAGGGGGTCGATCCTTCTCTGGGGATCTCCATAAAACAGTACATTTGATGGGAATTTCTGCATTCCATTTTGAGCTATATAAATAAATGTTCTAGTTCTGAGGGCTTTATTTATTTTTAAATAACTTATTACCAGTTATTCTAAAACTCCTACATTTGCAAAGGAACCTTCATTATTTAGGCAGACTTGAATTTTATCACAAAGTGGGAGGACTTAATTATAGTTTCAACACACATTGGCATGCTTGGAGCAATTTAGAGGAAATAAAAGAATTTTCAGAATTTAAAGCCAAGATATTTATTCCATCTTAATAATGATGTGACTTGCTGATTATTTACCAGTAAATATTCCCATAGGGATCAGGCAATTAGGGCTTTATTCTGTGGCCTGAAGGCCAATATTCCTGAAGTTGGTGAAACCAATTGAAAAGATGAATTCCAAAAATGGAATTTCTCCATGGAAAATGTGGTGCTTCAAGCCCTTGGTATTCACACCTAAGGCCTCTTGGCAGCTTTCTTTGGCCAGCTGAAACAGGCATGGTGGTGCATACAGGCAGTTTCTATGGAAACCTGAACCCAAATGATATTGGGGCTTTGAAGATCAAAGGCAACACCCTGAATTGTTTTGAGAGCCCAGTGAAGGTTAGAACTTTATTGTTCTCCACAGAAAACACTACAGCCAAGGCTTTGGAATGTTTCTTCTGTAGGTGCGATAGACTTATGTGCACAAAATACACATTGGTAGTTTGCTTGTGAATTTATCTGTTCTAATTATTTTACCAGCTACTTTACAACATCCATCTCTACCATAAGGAAAATTGTCATCTTTCATTTTTCCTTTTCTTGACTGTATTTTTATACATAAGTGAAACCATAAGACACAGAGTATATGCTGAACGTGTATATTTTGTAGCAGATAACAATTTCCTCTTTTCATAAATCATGATAATCTATTCAGTGTACCATTTCCCCCCTACACATTTTCATTAATATATAAAAATGACCATCTAGTCAGATGGGCACACAGCCAAATTGCAGTTCTGCCTGTATGAAGATTTTAACCTACAGTCATTTTCCTTCTTAAGTACACTCTTTAAGCAAATTCCTTATTTAGTATCTGTGAGAAAAACCTTATCACAACCTTAGCAAAAATTAAAGTGGAAGAAAATATTTTTCTATCAACATGTCTTCCCAGGGTACATTTTATCTTCATTTTGTAGATCTTGATTTACATAAGTTTCTTCTGAAAAGCTCCCATCTTATAAAAGTCCTGATAAATGACAATGGGGCGTTTTCTTCTTGTCTGATGGAGATTGTCAAATTAAACATCTGAGCATACCACATTGATCTGTGGAGGTTTGCATCTTTGGTTTCAAGGGCCATTTTAGAGTTGGCTGGATATGTTATGGTTAGTCACTGTATTCAAAAACATCATATTCACCAGATTAGGCAAAGACTCAAAGCCTCCAGAGACTGTCTCTGTCTACAGACTGAAAGGATTCTGTTTTGAATTTCCCACAGGCAATCATCCACAGGTGTGGTGAGAGGTTTTTTAACAGGGTGGGGCAATTGCTTCTGCCTGGAGGCTAATTGTTATTCTCAGTCTCTCAATAGGCCTCAGAGATTTCACACCGTGGGGCAAGGTGTTTTCCAATAAAGTGGATCAACTGTCTCCCCGCTCCCTCCCAGGCAAAAACCACCTGGATGGCAAAGGTCTGCCTGCGAAAGATGACCTCCCCAGCATGAGGAAATGACTCAGCACAGGAAACTGGAGTGTCTGCCTTCTGAGCCTTAACCCCAGAGGCCCCAACCCTGGCTTCTGCTCACACGACTCCAGTCTACTCTGCCTTCCCACTGCGGGACACAAGGTGAGTGGCTGCACATGAAATTTTGTGTGTTGGACCTTTAAGGGGATACCTGCATTTCCAGCTGCTTCTCCCTGGCAGACAGCAACCTTGCTGCTTTTCACAGCCAGATATTATGTGGGCACCTTTCTCAGTTCTAGTGCTCTCTGCTGGGGTGCCCGGCTTGGGAATTAGACCCCAGAGTTCTCAGTGACAACCCCCCGCAGTTGAGATATCTCTCTAGAACTTCAGCTGCTGTCTATGGGAGCCTGACCAGCCCTTTTGCACCCCCATCCATCCCACCAGTGTATACGAAATTTCCACTTTCCATCCTTGGTTGTCAGGGTTCTCTTCAGCGAGTCTTCAGCTGATTACTCAGGATGTTTATTTTTGTATTTTAGTTGTAATTCCAGTTTGGTCCTGGGAGCATGTGTGTAGTATCCACTTACACTGCCACTATTTTTAATCTCCCCTCTTGTGGGCAATCTATGAACAGCATTCTAGTAAGAAATTCTACAAGTCTAAATATCTTGTCCCACAGCTCCCTTAAGCTGACCTCCAGTTAATTGTTTTTTTTCTTTTTGGTTCTCTGATCGAGTTATTTTTTTCTAACCCAGTGGTTCTCAACCTTGGCTGCACATTAGAATCACCTGGTAATCTTTTTAAAATCCTGATTTCTGGGTCTCATCCTCCAGAAATTTTGTTTCTTTGTTTTGGGGTGGGGCCACAACAGTAGTAACAAAGAAACAGAATTTCCCGAGGATGAGGCCCAGAAATCAGGATTTTAAAAAAATTTTCCAGGTGATTCTAATGTGCAGCCAAGGTTGAAAACCACTGCTCTAACCTGTCTTCTAATTCACTGATCCAATCCTCAGTTTTCCCTAATCTGCTGTCTATTCCTTCCAATGTATTATTTATTAGTGCTATGTCATTCTTTATTTCCATCTGTTTTTTTCATAGTTACTATATCTTTTCTCATGCTGTTAAGCATCTTTACCATCATTATTCTGAACTCTATATTAGATACATTTCTTTTTTATATATATTTTATTGATTTTTTACAGAGAGGAAGAGAGAGGGATAGAGAGCTAGAAACATCAATGAGAGAGAAACATCGATCAGCTGCCTCCTGCACACCCCCCACTGGGGATGTGCCCGCAACCAAGGCACATGCCCCTGACCAGAATCGAACCTGGGACTCCTCAGTCCACAGGCCGATACTCTAGCCCCTGAGCCAAACTGGTCAGGGCTAGATACATTTCTTATCTCCGTTTCATTTCTTTCTTCTTCTGGCATAGGCTTTTGTCGAAAGGCATAGTGAGAAGGCTAACCTCTATTTTGTAAAACTACTGTTTGGAATTCTCTGCTATTCTTTAGACGGCCTCTTATTCTAAAAAAAAAATAATATTGCTTTCTAGCCTGCTCTAGCCTGCTTGAATAATGAGGAAAATAAACTTAGCTGTCTGACCTTGTAGGCCAGAGACTAGATATGCCCATACTCTCAATGCCATGCCAGGTGCATTTTTTAATTGGATAGAACTGTGTAGTTTTCAAGGCTACCAGCGAGAAAACCACTTAGCACACATAGGGCTGGCTCTTTCATAAAAAAAGAAGTTCTGCTTGTAGCTCTGCTTAGAATTTGAATTCATTTTCTCTAAGCCCACTGCAGTGAATAAAGTGTGACTCCAAACTCTCTGAGCGTTGCTTGATTTATTCCGGTTCTCTGTAACAACAGAAGTAATCTTTGAATCATTCATATGGTTCAACCCTCTCACTAGCACTGGGGGGGGGGGGGGTTCTGTAGAGGTTCCAAGGTAGTGAGATGGTTTCGATTCCTTAGCCTTGTCCTCTGTGCACATACTTTTCAGGCACCCAGCAGGACTAAAGTCATGAATTTCCTGGCATTTAGCATTATTGACATCATTGACCTCTTCCTCTATAAAAATTACTAAAAATTATATTCTACAGTTGTGTTGGTATAAAGACAAATATATTTATACTAGAGGCCTGGTGCACCAGTGGGGTCCCTCAGCCTAGCCTGCGGGATCAGGCTGAAACTGGCTCTCCAACATCCCCCAAGGGGTCCCAGATTGCAAGAGGGTGCAGGCTAGGCCAAGGGACCCCACCGGTGCACATCAGGGCCAGGGCCAGCGAGGGACATGGAAGGTTGGCCAGCCAGGGAGGGACTGCAGGAGGGCTCCAGGGCATGTCTGGCCCATCTCACTCAGTCCCAATCAGCTAGACCCCAGCAGCAAGCTAACCTACTGGTCGGAGCGGCTGCCCCCTCGTGGTCAGTGCATGTCATAGCGAGTGGTTGAGCAGCCTTAGCATATTATTAGCATATTATGCTTTGATTGGTTGAATGGCTGACCTAATGACCGGGCATTTATATTATTAGGCTTTTATTATATAGGATTATATTAAAAAAAGTTTTTTTTTTTTTACCTAAAAATGTATTTTTCTTCTGATTTTAAAAGGCGAAAGATTTATGCGATCTGAAGAGAAACCAGAGTATTCTCTTCTGATTTTAAAAGAAACTAAAACATTTTCATGTTGTTGTAGACCTTAGGCAGTGGGTTACTATTGGGCCAAATGGGCAAGTTGGTTCTGAATCTGTAAGAGATGGCTGCAGTTATGAAGGTTGAGGATTTAAGAATCCTGGTCTCAGCTAAGTATGAGCTGATAATCATGAACAATTTAAGCTTTAGAAGAGTCCAAAGGATCAAGCCCCCATAGTTTGTTAAAAAATATCTGAATCGCCGAAACCGGTTTGGCTCAGTGGATAGAGCGTCGGCCTGCGGACTGAAAGGTCCCAGGTTCCATTCCGGTCAAGGGCATGTACCTGGGTTGCGGGCATATCCCCAGTAGGAGATGTGCAGGAGGCAGCTGATCGATGTTTCTCTCTCATCGATGTTTCTAACTCTCTATCTCTCTCCCTTCCTCTCTGTAAAAAATCAATAAATATATTAAAAAAAATATCTGAATCATCTAATAGCTGTGAAGGGAAATGTTTTTGTTGATATTACTCACCTTTAACCCCTGTTTCTTTTTTTTTAAAATATATTTTATTGATTTTTTACAGAGAGGAAGGGAGAGAGATAGAGAGTTAGAAACATCCATGGGAGAGAAACATCAATCAGCCGCCTCCTGCACATCTCCCACTGGGGATGTGCCCGCAACCCAGGTACATGCCCCTGACCGGAATCGAACCTGGGACCCCTCAGTCCGCAGGCTGACGCTCTATCCACTGAGCCAAACCAGTTTCGGCCCCTGTTTCTTTTTATGCAATAGTTGCATTGAATTTGTGCGTGCGTGGGTGTGTGTGTGTATTTATTTTTTGGGGGGGTCAAAGTATAACCACATATTAATGGTTAAGGTAAAATAGGAAGAGTTTGGGAAGCAACACATGAGCCAAAGACTTTTCTACCACAACTACTGCAGCATGGGATATTTTAATTGCTTAATCAACTGATTGAATCAACAACTATTTACTGAGTACATCTGTGTGGTGCTGGGGTGCTGCTGAGCAATGTAGGCATGCTCCTTGATCTTAGTCTTGCATTTGGGAGCAAGTAGGGAGAATAGGAGAGAGATGGTTGACCAGGCAACTATAAGACAGAATGTTACACATTTCATTTAAGGAGAAAGTGAGGGTTCAGAGAAAGTTCAAAGGAAGGGCACTTAACTCAGATTTGCAAGGCAAAGGGACAGATGACATGAAATCAGAAGTGAGGTGTGTAGGTTAAGTAGGGGTTAGCAAATGATGATGATGAGTAGGAGGAGGAGGAACAGATGAGAGAATCTCAAGGAGACAGAAGAAAGCTTAAAGGGTGGAGTGGGAGGTTTGGAGAGGAACAGCGAAGAAACAGGATACATTAGAGGAAGATTCTCTTTGCAGATTAAAACTGAATGTAGCCTGTTCACATCTGGGTGTCACAAACCTATAAAGCAGCTATTCAAGTAGGCCTTTGTGATAACCACATTCATGGAAGCACGGTGACTAGTAGGCCATTACCCTTTCTTCTTGTCTTCCTCCTCTGCCTTTTACCCTATAGCCCTCCACATTTTTGCCCCAATTCTCATCCCTCTCTGGGAGAAACAGCCTCAGAATGCCAGTCTCATGGTAGGACTGAGTTTCAGCAGGAGACTCAGGATCAGTAGTCTCTGGCAACACCTTCCTTCAGCTCTTGGATAAGAACCCTAGACAAGAATGTGCTGTAGTTTCTTTGGGCATCACCTGACTTGAATTGGCCAAGGAACACCATTGCCTTAGCAATTTGCAAAGAAAAGCAGATTGTTACTAAGTTGTCACCATTCAACCCCTAAGGCTGCCAAATTTGCCTCAACCCCGACCAGAAGTGATTCCATCTCAGGTTAATGGAGGGGGAAAGCGTCTGGGAGTGGTGAGCAGGAGAAAAGTGAATAGATGTTTGAGGTGCAAATCCTATTCGATGTTTTCTCTGAAGATGATATTCTCTGAAGAAGATATTCTCTGAAGAAGATGTTTATTTTTCTTCTTTTTAAAATCACATACTCTCCATCTCCTGTAATTGTAAAGTCATGCAATCTGCAGATGTTGGCTTGGCAAGTGTGAATAAGGCAGTCAGAAAAATGAAGCTGCCAGGTACCAGGGCCCACGTTTTCAAGGAAGCAGCACCTTCCCAGGGCGCTGGTAAACAGTAAAAACCTTACCCTCTATCTTGCTTCTATTTTCTTTGGGGTGTTAGAAAAGGGTTGGATGGGAAAGTTGGGTTGGACTGGGGGAAAGGGAAGAAAAACTGTAGAGGTGTTTTCTATAGAACAGCTGAGGTCTCTGTACCGTATCTTGTGTTTGGTTTGGTTTTTATGGGTTCCCAGTTGAAATACATAAAAGATAGGTGCCAAAAGGATTGAAAAGTCATTTGGAATAATGATAGGAGCTGAGCATGACCTCATGGGAAGAATGTTGCTCAGTGGAGACAAATGAGAAACTTACATAGATGTAGGGGCTGACACATTGTTCACTTTCCAGGGGAGGGTTGGTA